CCAGGGCTGGGGGTGCAGGAAGCCCAGCAGGAGGGTGTGGGATTTGAAGCCAAGACTGGGGGTGCAGGAGGCCCAGCATGATGGAATGGGGTTCCAAGCCTGGGCTGGGGGTGCAGGAGGCTTGGCAGGAGAGTGTGGAGTCTAGGTCTGGGCTGGGGGTGTGGGAGGCCCGGCAGGACAGTGTGAGGTTCCAGGCTAGGTGTGCGGGAAGCCCAGGAGGGCAGAGTGCGGCTGGCCAGGCAGGGGCTGGGGTTGTGGAAGGCCTGGGAGTGTGGCTGGCCAGGCCTGGGGACGGTGAGGAGCCAGCACTCTCTTCTCGCGGGGTGGGAAGTCATCCTATCGCTGACACTGCAGGTAGGTCCCCAGAGGGATCTGTGTTGGAAGAGCTGGGGTTTGAGCCTGTTGGTTAAAGTAAAGATGCCTTTGGCTGCCCTGAGACCCTGGGGTGAGACGTTCGTCACACCTGTTCGGAAATCAGTGCCTCCTTTCCCCAGAGACAGGTGACTGGAGGTTGGTTCCCAGGCCAGGCTGGGCCATTTGCCCATAATGTGTAATCTGGGGACCTATCAGAACCTCTCAATGCCCCCGGACCACAGATTGGGACATCATTTCCTTGGAAATAGGCTTTGGTCCCATTAGCAACACCCAGGAGAATCGCCTGGATGTGGGCATTCTGTGCCCCTCCTCCGTGAGGCCATTGCCACAACCGGTCCCCAGATTTCCCGTCTCCTTAGCAGAAGTCTGTGTCCCCTGAGCACAGAGTTCCTTTCCCTATTCCTCTGCCCACCCTCTGTCACTGCAGTCCTAATAAACCCTTGGCCCTACCGTGGCCTGGGATTTGTTATTATGTCCATTGAAAATGTTACTGGGATGATTGCAGGTTCGCTGGCAGTAGTAGGAAGGGTCCATCTGTGCCCTCTGCCCAGCCCTCCAGTGGTAACATTTTGCAAAACTGACGTCATATATTACGACCACGATGTTGCTCACATTTAGGTTCCGCCAGTCTTGCTTATACCCCTTTTCGTGTGTGCATGTGTGCTTGTGTGTGTATATATCAAGTTCCATACAATATTTCCACCTGTGTAGATATGTGTCCTCATCACCACAGTCAAGATACAAAACATCCCACTTCCACGAGGTCCCTCCTAGCATTCTTTTCTAGCCCCAACCCACTCCTGTCCCGTCTCTAGCCCCTGGCAGCCCCCAATCTGCCCTCCATTTTTAAAATGGTGTCATTTTCAGGCTCTGTTGTAGCTGGAACCCCTGTGTGACCTTTGGAGTCTGGCTTTTCCACTCAGCATACTTCTCTGAGGAGCCCCCCAAGTTGAGGTGTGGACCAACGCTGCATTCCTTCCTGCTGCTGAGCAGTGGTCCGCGGTCCAGGCACACCTGTTGGTTTCACTGTCCACCCCTGAAGGACACCTGAGTGGCTTCCAGTTTGGGGCTATTATCAATAAAGTGGCTGTAACGTTTGTCTAGAGATTGGTCCTTTTCTATGCTACAGGTTTCCCTGGCTACCCAAAAATAGAGGCAGTCTCTAAGATACAGGTTTTCCCTGCTCTCTGAAAGTAGAGCGTTCCCATGAAATCGTTCACAAGCTGAAATGCTGTGAAGGGAAGGAGCAATTACCATTACTTTATACAGAAGCATTTCTGAGCGTTCCCAAACCCCAAAAGTAACCTCCCAAATCATAGCAAATAACATGCAACACTTAACATTCCCCGTATCGGGAAAGCAGAGCTGACACAGTACACGACGACCTACACAAGATGGAGGTAACACAGTTGGTGGGGCAGCGTATGAAGCTCAGATGCTGAGCGTGGTCCCGAGAAGGAGCATGGCGACGCCTCTGGCCACTCGGGGTGCACGTGGCCTCTTTATCGGCTGGCCACCAAGCACTGACCACTAGTTTTGCTTTTCATAGAAGCGAAAATCGTCTTTGAATTTCTTTTGGTTAACAGAAATAGGTATGGATGTGCGTCTTTGTATGAAAGTGAAGTGGTGTAAAGCCAACTTTCAGAAAGCGGGGGTCACCTGTATAAAATGGGATCTCAAGGAGTACAGACTCTCTGGAGCCTCTGAGACTGGATGAACCCCCAACATGATTGCCCTGACATCACCTTTAAACCTCAAACCAAGAACATTCCCTGAAGTCTTCTCTAAACCAGTCGTTCAGCGCAACCAGAAAAGGACATCTGTCTTGAGCGGTGAGCTCTTCCAGGATTCATCCACATAGGATCCAGTTGGCAACAGCAACTCGAAAGGTTAGATAAGAAGGTGGGGCAGTGAGTTCACACTAAAGGAGGAGGAATGTTCCAGAACAGAAGGGCAAGTACAGTTGTGCAACCCAGAGAATGTAAGTGACATTGCGCACCCCGCTGTCCCCAGTGAGACACCCCAAGCAGACAGTGGACACACCCATGGACCACAAGGAGCTCAGGGCTGAGCTGACAGGACCAGGCAGCAGTGAGAAGGGGCAGGACAACCCAGCTGTCACCGAACCAGCAGCAGGACTTGTTGTGAGTTAGACAGTGTCCCCCAAAAGCCATGTCCACCTCATAACGTGAAGGAGTCTGGAAATGAGATCTTTGAAGATGCAATTACACTGGAGCAGGGTGAGCCCAGGTCCAATACAAACCGTGTCTTTATAAGAGGACACACACAGACACAGAGGGAGGTTGGGGGCCGACTGGACTGATGTGCCCACAAGCCAAGGAATGCTGGGAGCTGCCAGAAGCTGGGAGACAAGAAAGAACCCTCTCCTAGAGCCCCTGGAGGCAGCACAGCCCTGCCGACACCTTGAACTCGGATGTCTGGCCTCTAGAACTGGGAGACAACACATTTCTGTTGTTTCAGGGCATTTATCTGTGGTACCGTGTTACCATAGGCCATGGAACTTGTACACGCAGTAACAGGGGCTTCACCAGATGACTTATTGAGCTAAACCTGGCAAGTGTCTACAACCTTATGATTCTCCCAGGACCGTAGAGGCAGAGTGCACTGATGGTGACCTGGTGACGTTTGTGCTGGGAAAGACTCAAAGGCCAGGACAATGCCGTTCTGCTTGAACAAGGCCATCTGAGGTCACAAAGAGCATGTGGGTGGGTAGGGCCACGAGGCTGTCCCGAGCTGAGGTCACGTTCAGGCTCTGAATTCTGAGGCTTTCCCAGTTTTCTCGAGTAGGAGTGGGTGTCTGTGTTTGTAAATTTATAGGGGTGTGTGTATGTAGGTCCATCACCTGTGCAAAGGTGTGACGGCTCCCATGCAGAGGAAAATACAGTGCCATCAGGATGGCAACTTGGAACCTAGATCTGTTTAACGGAATGAAGGGTGTGATCTCTCCTGCATCCCACTGGAGAGGTTCCCGGCAGGACTGACAGCACACCAAGGGGCGCAGGTGAACGACAGGGCTGCAGGTGAGCAAGGCCCAGGGGGTCTGGGGAGACAGATGGACAGCTCCACAGTGCAGGAGTGAGCTTAGGGCAAAGGGGTGGAAACTGCCAAGGCTGTGAAGGAAGTGTAAGTGCTGATGGTGGGAGCCACCAGGTACTGGGGGCTGAAGATGGCTCCCAGTGGTGGGGAGGCCTGTGCCACTTGGGCTGGGCCTGTGGAGTGGAGGGAAGAGTGTGGGCAGACTTTCCAAGGCCAGAGCAGGAGAGGTACACTGCTGGGGGCAGCTGTGGGGGAGGCAAGGACCCAGGTGTCTGTATGTTCCCTGTTACAACCATTAACTGGCCCAACAAACCACCCACCAGCGCCGAGGTGGGGAGGGCCGCAGAGTGCAGGTGTGTGAGGTTCATCCGCGGGATCTGGTGTCTGATCAGGTGAGGACAGAGTAGAGGTATAACAAAGTGTAGCTGGGCCAGAAAGGAACTCAGGGGGATGCGGAGCTCACAGAGGCTGGGGGTCTTGGGAGGGAGGTGTGTAGGGGCCTGGGACGCCTGGGGGGGTGTTGTGGTTGCGTGACAAGTTGTGAAGCACACCCCTGCCTGCACATCTGGGGGCAAGATGGGTGGTGAGTGTTGGGGGGGCATTTAGGAGCCCAAGGGGCTCGTGGAGGTGAGGTCGGGTCCACCCAACAGGATTTGAGTCTCCAGGGAATAAATGGCATTGGAGAGTTGGCGGTACTCCCAGAAGAGCGTGAAGGTGGGAAGAGGGGGTAGTCAGGCCGGACAGAGTTTGGAGGACAAGGGTGCCCTGGGGATGTTGGCTGGAGCAGGAAAACTGCCAACTCAGGGCGGCAGGAAGGTGAGGGCCCTCCTGGAGAGAGGGGAGGGGCATGCAGGAGCCTGGGGAGGGAGGGAGGCTGGAAGAGGGAGTCTGCCCCACAGGTTGCAAGGGGAGGGGACAGGCCAACCCCCCCCATGCCATCGACTCTCTTGCGTGCTTCTGCCCCCGTGCGGTCACTGCCAGGTGGACCCCTGGCTGCCACCACGCCCACAGGGCCGCCAGAAGAGGGCACTGAGCCTGGGCAGTGGTTCCTCGCAGGGAGGGCTGACCCAGCCCCATGGCGGCTGCAGACAGGTGGAGGGGACAGGGAGGGCACGGGGTGATCACAGAGGGCAGTGGACAGGGACCCCAGGTGGCGAACTCGACCAAGCCGGGGAGGGCTGAGGCGGCGAGTGAGGAGAGTGGTGGGCGCAGGCTGGGGACCCGGCCAGGGGGCGCCGGGAGCCAGAGGCCGGCTCGGGACAGGGCTCTGGGCTTGGTCCTCGCCCCTCCAGCCCCGCGCTCTGGGCACACGTGGCGCCGGCTCGCGCAGGGCTGCGGCCACACACGGATGGCGCGAGCGGGAGGCCCGCAAAGTGCGTCCCTTGCTAGGTGACCGCCGTTCCCCGAATGGGGCTGCTGGGCTACTGCTCCGAGGGCAGGTAGGGCAGCTCCACGCGCTTCGGGACCGAGGCCACGGCCGGGGGCGGGGCCTGCGCCGGCCGGAAGTGCGCATCCGCCAGCGCCGAGGAAGTCGGTGGAGCCGGCGCGGCGAGTCACGTGAGCGGAAGATGGCGGCCTCGGCAGGCAGTGGAGGCTCCGCCGTGTCGGTGTTGGCCCCGAACGGGCGGCGCCACACGGTGAAGGTGACGCCGAGCACCGTGCTGCTGCAGGTACGCCGCCAGCCGGGGCGGCCGGACGTCCAGGCTGCGGGCCTCTGGGCGGAGGAAGTCGGTGCGGGGCCCGCCCCTTGCGGTTGGCTCCGGAGGACCTTGGGGCGGGGCCTGCGCGTGACCAATGGGCGGCTTCCTGGCGTGACGGGCCCGCCTACTTCTGCGGCGGCAAGGCTTCCGCGGGGGTCCCTTCGGGTGGGGACGGGGCAGTGCCCTAGGGCAGGTGGGCTCGTATGCTTCTGAGGGTGCTGTGAAGGCAGCATCTCCTGTCATCCCTTCTGAGTACCCAACACTCAGCGAAGCCTAGCGTCTGAGGGCGCCGAGAAAACTGGAGCCCCCAGACTTCTGTCCCCATTCTGGGGCGAGCACCTGGCCTCGGAGCCGGGTCTCCGTTTCCCTCGCGGCCAGATGCGCTGGCCACTGGGCCTGGAAGCCATTTGGATGAGTCATCGCTTCATTTTTACCACGATGAGATGAGTGGGTGACCTCTTCTCAAATTTAAAACTGCTTACCGCCCCTCAGAAGCTCTGGTGGCACAGTGATTAAAGCATTCGACTGCGAAATGAAAGATTGGCAGGTCGAACCCACCAGCTGCTCCGCGGGAGAGAGAGATGGCAGTCCGCTTCCATAAAAATTCCAGCCTTGGAGACCCTATGAGGCACTTGTAGTTTATCTTACAGGGTCACTGGGAGTGGTTACCGAGCTGATGGCAGTGGGTGGGAGCCACCCCTGCTGTGAAGGGGACATCCCATGACGCAGTCTGGGGACTCACAGGCTGGGTCAGTGGTGGGAGACTTGTAAGCGGGTGAAGAACACGTGTGGAAGCCACCGAGGTGGGGGCTCACAAGGCCCTGAGCGCACCGTGGAGCTGGCTTGGGGAAGGAGCAAGCATCGGGGCAGGTGGTAGAGCAGGCTGGGTGCGTGGTGTGTGAGGCCGCAGACTTTGGCCTTTGTTCTTTGTCAGTGGGGGTTGTGGGGTGCAGGGGATCCGTGGTGTATGTTCCAGCAGAGTTGGAAGGGGACAGGGGCATCTGCAGGTCATGCTCAGGGAGCTGTGAGTGGGCGGCCCCTCGGTGACCTGGGACTGAGTTCTGTGTGAGCAGCTTGAACTGGACCCTGAGGAAGGAGCTCTGTGCCCTTGGCTGGCCTCCTGGCTCTGTGCTTTACTGTCCTTTCCTGTCTAGGTCCTGGAGGACACGTGCCGGCGACAGGACTTCAACCCCTGTGACTATGACCTGAAGTGAGTGCTAGGCGCTTGGCTGCCTGGTCCGGCCCCCACCTGTGGGATGGGGTCGTGCTGCGGGCTGGTATTTGTGAATCCAGTTTCTTCATCCTGTTTGTTGAGCTCCCGTGTACTGGTGCGGAGCCAGCGGTAAAGGGCAGAGAGCCCTGGTCTTTAGGGTATCGGGCCCCAACACAGAGCACGTCCACAGACAGAATGCAGGTCAAAGACCTGAGCCAGACGGGTGTGTGTGCATGTGTGAGTATGAGTGTGTGTTTATGTATGTGAGTGTATGCCTAAGTGTGTGTACATAAGGAAGTGGGAGTTTGCATGACTGCATAGGCATTTGGGTATGTGAGGTGTGTGAGGTTTGTATGAGAGCGAATGGGTGCATGAGTGAGTGTGTGTGCATAAGTAAGTGTGAACGATTGTGTATTTGTACAAGGAACGAGGGTGTGTGAGTGTAAGTATGTATGTGTATATGAGAGTAAGTGTGTATGTGATGGCGTGTGTATTTATGCGAGAAGGATTATGTGACTGTATATGTGTATGTGACTACGTGAGTATGTATATGTGATTATTTGTGTTTGTGTGTGTGGGTGAGGGATACTGCCTTAGATCATCTTGTCTGGGGCGTTTAAGCTGTGAGTGAGCCCGGAGGTCCGGGAGAGGGGAGAGGCCCAGTGGCTGGAGCACAGTGTGCGAGGCTGTGGGGAACCCAGCAGGGTGGGTTGGTTTTCACCTGAACACAGTGAGGGTCTTAGTGGCTTTGCTGTTTATGTTCCTGGGGTTGGGGGGACAGAGAGCTAGCTGGTCACGGAGCAGTGGGCCCCAGCACTCTAGGCACCTGGAGTTACGGGTCTTTCTAAAGAGAGGGGCCTCCCCCGACCCTTGCCCTCAGGCTGGTCGGGCAGGGTTGACATCCACTTGTCCAGCCCCCGGTCGTGAAGTCCAGTTTTCAGTGTCACTATGCTGAGGTGGGGCAGTGAGGGCCTTGGGAGAGTTTGTGGGTGGGAGGGCTGACAAGGCACCCTTGTCTTCCTGCCTTCTGTCTGTTCCTTGGCCACGTTCGCCATAGTGGATGTGAAGTCCATGGTCATGCCCATGAGGGATAGGGCGTGCTGTCTGTGGGTGGGGCCCCCCTAGACCCTGTTGGAAATATTTTGACAGGTCTCTTGCAGCACCTTGTTGGCTTTGGTCAAGTCTCCTTGTCGCCCACCAACTATGTGACTTGTTTGAAAGATGCTGCTGTGGGGGCAGGATGCCCAGCACGTGTGTGACATGTCCCTGTCCTCTGCTCTGGGGCCTCGGTGGTTCTGCTGCCCCCTCTTGCCATTCTAGCAACCTCTGGTATCACTTTTTTTTGTGTGTGATTTAGGTGAAAATTTATAGAGCAAATTCACTTTCCATACGGCAGCCCACGTACACTCTGTCCCACGACATCGACCACAATTCATCACAGTGCAACAGCTCCCCTCCCACTTCCTTCTGACAGTTACCTCTTCCCTGTGTCCATGCCTCCTTGCACTCCTGTCCATTGAACTGTCTCTCTGTGCAGACACAGCCCTTCTTTCTCCCCTGATTGTTCTCTCCAAGGACTGCACCTACCTCCCTCAGGTAAACGTTCAGCTCCTATGCCTGTCTTTTGTTTGGCTGGAAGCCACAGGTGTGGCTTCAGTTCCAGACCTGAGGGGCAGTGAGGGGCCATGGTCTCAGCGGTTCCACCAGGCTCCATCGGACCAACACATTGGGTCCCTCCGGGATCGCTTTTGTGGCTGGGGCTAAAGACCGCTGTCCTACGCTCCTCCTAGCCCCTCAAGCCTCCTGGGGCCTTTTTGTGATTCAGAATGCCGGCCCGGCTGACTGCTGCGTGTGCATTGGAATCCCACACACGTCCTCTCTGTCATTTCTTTCTAAACGTTTTCCACACGTGCAGCATGGGGTTTTGCTTCTGGGTTTTCTGGGCCTTGTTTTTGTAGGGTTCTGGGAGTTATGGGGTCAAGGGGCTCTGGGTCTGCCCCCCCTCTGCCTGAGGTGAAGGGCCCGCAGAGCTTGGGTCTCCTGGTCCTGCTTCTCTCTACCTGCCTGTTCTGGCTTCTCAAGCAGTCTGTCCACGGCTGACGTGAGTTGAGCTGGACCTCAGAGCATACTGTCGGCTGGGTGTGGCCATGCTCAGCCCGTTGGCCCTTCTTGTTGGAGCTTCCTGGTTCTGAAGCAGGGCCGAGCTGTGCCTGTGCTTTCCGGAGAGGCTGGCTGGGGGTGCAGGCCTGCCCGACCGCAGAGCTGCTGATGGCCCCTGCCCCTGCCCCTGCCTCCTTGGTTCTCTCTCGCTCATCTCCTTTCTTCACACCTCATTCCCCCAACCCTCCCACCTCACTCCTGAGAAACCCCGTCACCTCAGGCCTGGGAGCCCTGGAGTCCTCTCTGTGGCAGCCATGCTGAACTTGTCCCCGGTGGCCTGGTGTGCCAGGTGGGAGTGGGGAGTGGCACCCTGCTCCGGGCCTGGAGAAATTTGGTTTTCGAGCTGGGATTATTGGTCCAGCCCTCAGCCCTGGCCACCGTGAGCACCACACTTGACCGTCAGCACTTTGGGCCAGGTTTATCTCTGGAATGTCTGCTTCCTGTTGCCTGACTTTAGGCTTGTGGCCCTGCCTCGGGGACAGCAGAAAGCTGGCATGATGGGGAGGTGGCCTCTTGGCAGGGGCCGGCAGTGCAGGTTGGAGTGCCTATGGCAGCTGAGTCTGCTCAGGGAAGCAACTTTGGGCTGTGATGACGGTGCACCGTTAGACCAGTAGGTTCTGAGCTCAGATGTGAGCACCATCTGGCTGGCACTGCTCAGGGGCCTGCTCCAGGCAGACGGGCTGTGCTGGGCGCCGTGGCAGCGTGTGTGCCATGACCAGTGCACTGTGCTCCGTCCTGCAGGTTTCAAAGGAGTGTGCTGGATCTTTCCCTGCAGTGGAGATTCGCCAACCTGCCCAACAACGCCAAGCTCGAGATGGTGCCCGCCTCCCGTAGCCGTGAGGGGCCTGCGGACATGGTAGGTGGGCCTCTGCGGGGCCGGTTTATCAGGGCTGGAGCGGGCTGGGCACCATCAGCTCCCAGGTTCAGGACGACTGGGGTGGGAACCCTGAGCTGCTGTCTCCGTTGGCCACACACGTCCAGGATGAGGCTGATTTATGGAAGCACAGCATCTTCTGATGTCTTATGGGCTGTTTGGTGTTGCGGGAAGTCCCTGGGTGACGCTAGCAGCGAACATGCTTAGATACCGACAGAAATGTTGGAGGTTGACTCCACCCAGAGGAGCCTTGGAGAGGAGGCCTGGATGTCCACTTCTGAAAGATCAGCCGCTGGAGACCCTGCAGAGTACGGTCTTCCTGCGACCCCCACATGTGTACACATGCACGCATACGTGAACACATGTGAGCCTGTTCATGCAGGTAGATGTATACGTGTATGTGCACATGCACACACGCACATGCACAGAGCACGGTCTTACTGTGACCCCACATGTGTATGATACACACGTTAACACATGTGAGCCTGTTCATACAGGTGGGTGTATACACGTGTCTGCATACATGCATTCATGTGCATAGTGCACACACAGAGAGCATGGTCTTACTCCGACCTCCACGTGTATATGTATGCATGTACATGTTAACATATGTGAGCTCGTTTGTATAGGTGGAGGTACGTACATGTATGCATGGCCTCACTGTGACCCCATGTGTGTATGTGTGCATGCACATGTGAACACATGTGATTTCATACAGGTGGATGTACACGTATATGTATACATGGGTGTGTGCATAGTGCACACACCATGGTCTTATTCTGACCCCCACGCGTATATACATGCACATGTGAACACACATGAGCCTGTTCATACAGGTAGATATATATACATGTATACATACATGTATATGCCTGCACAGTGCACACACACATGCACCCACATGTGTGGTTTACAGAGTGTGCAGAGGAGAAAGGTGCCTACTCATTGCTGGGAGATGCTCTCTCCAGGTCCTCACAAATTCCCAGGAGATCGGGCCACACAGCCCACTGACTCATGCTCCCGGACTCAGGCCCAGTCATGGCTGCCTCCCTCCCTCCCAGTCACGTGCCTGGTGCTTGCCCCTTCAGGTTCGCATTGCACTGCAGCTAGATGACGGCGCCCGGCTGCAGGACACCTTCTGTGCAGGCCGGACTCTCTGGGAGCTTCTCATCCACTTCCCACGGACCAGGTGAGGTGGGTGGCAGGAGGCTCTGGCCTTGCCTGCTTTGGCTGGACACTGAGCTGTGCTCTGGCCATGCCTGCTCATGCTCTGTGGTCTTGCACGGCGGGGAGGGCGGGCACAGCTGGGCCGCTCCTGGGTGCACAGGATGTGCATGGTCCTCTGCTGGGGGGCCAGCGGGCAGTAGGGGCCTGGGGGCTAGAGCTTCCCTGTTTGCATGTCCCTGGGAGGAGGTGCGCTTGCCGGGGTCTCCCTGGGAGGAGGTGGGCTTGCCGGGGTCTCCTAGCCGTGCAGCCCTGGGGTGGCGGCGCGCCCTCGCGCTGGGCACTTCGCCTGAACGCGAGACCCCTGTGGGTGTGGCACTTTGTCCTGGGGTGGCGACGCGCCCTCACGCTGGGTACTTTGCCTGAACGCGAGACCCCTGTGGGTGTGGCACTTTGTCCTGGGGTGGCGACGCGCCCTCACGCTGGGTACTTTGCCTGAACGCGAGACCCCTGTGGGTGTGGCACTTTGTCCTGGGGTGGCGACGCGCCCTCACGCTGGGTACTTTGCCTGAACGCGAGACCCCTGTGGGTGTGGCACTTTGTCCTGGGGTGGCGGCGCACCCTCGTGCTGGGCACTTCGCCTGGACGTGAGACCCCTGTGGGTGTGGTACTTTGTCCCCCATCCTGTTTGCTTGTGACTACACACGGGCACCTGTGGGGCCTCTGGCGACCTGTCCTTTGTGGGGGTGTGGAGTGTGGTGGATTCATGCCCAGCACTGGGGTGGGTGGCCTCCTCTGTGGAGGTGTGGGGTTGTGTGGAGTGTGGCAGATTCACGCTCAGCACTGGGGTAGAGCCTTCTCCTGGTGGCCTCATCCTTTGTGGGGGAGGCATGGGGGGCAGATTTACACCCCAGCACTTATCACTGTCAGGTGCTCTGTGACCCAGCACTGTCTCCTTGGGGGCTGGACACCTGGCCTCACCACAGCGTGAAGTCCTGCCTGTTGCGCTGTGTGGTTGGGTGGTGGTTCCATCCATGATGGTGCTACTGGGCTTTCTTGGCCCCACCTGTGTTTGTTCCAGCCTTCACGGTCAGAACCAGCGATGTCACACACACAGTTCAGAGGCCTGGGGTGCGGCTTGGACCGTGAGCTTTTGGTTGGGGTGGGGGCATCTCTGAATCCACACAGCTGTGCACCTGCTCAGAGCTGGGCCTCTGGCTCAGGCTGATCTTGTGGGTCCAGTGGCGTGTGATGGCCCTGTATGCCCCTCCATCCCCATGCTTCCCATCTGGAGGGTGGTGTCCGGCAGTTCTGCTGGGTTCTAGCATGGGCTTTGCCTTACAGGGAATTTAGGACTTGTGGAGAAGGGGGCAGGCAGCATGGCTCTGACATGTGTGGCGGTGAGGGGGACATGCCCTGGGGGGGGCTTCCATGTGTGAAGGGGTGGGGAAAGTGCCCTGGGGGGGCTCTCACACATGTTAGGGGGAAGAGGAAGTATCCTGGCGGGGACTTACTTGTGTGAGGAGGAGGGGGAAGTGTGGTGGGAACTCTCAACGTGTGAGGGGGAGAGGGAGTGTCTTGAGGGGGCTCACATGTGTGAGGGGG